TATTGCGGTCATATGACTTTTCTAGCATTAATTCGCGTTTGTAGAGGGTGTGCGGATACTTTTGTCCACCCTCTGTACTTAATTAAAATTACATAAATCATAAAATAATTACATAAAATTGAATTATAAAATACTAATAAAATCAAAAATTAAAAATAAAATAATAAACAAAATTACATATACAAAATTAAAAAATTAAAATAGTAAAAGATTATTGCAAAAATGTAAAAAGAAGTATTTTAAAAAAAATGAATCAAAGAAATATAATAAAAATGAGTATGAAAATTGAGCTGTTTAAGGATTTCCAGTTTATATATATAAAAAAAAAATTAGGTTAGCCTGATGTCTTAAACATTTTGTTATACTAGCCCTATTCAATTCTATCTATTTTGATCTGATCTGATTATCAAAAATCTAATAGCCAATAAAAATTATTTAAAGATTAGATCAAATAAACGAATCAATAGATTAAAAAATTTGATAATCTGAATGTTCTAAAAATAAAACGTGTTTATATTCTTTTAAAAAAAAATGATTTCACAAAATTTAAAAAATATTGAATCAAAATGTGATCTAAAAATTAAACTGTAGTTGAACTTGTTCCTATACTTCTAAAACTAATTACATTAAAAACTTCAAATATATTTTCTCTTAAGTTTAAAAAAGTAATTAATCTAGAGGTTTGTACTTATATTTTTTTTTAATGTTAATTTATTCAATTTAATTATTAACATATTTATATTAAATAGTCAGATATAAATATTATAACTATACAAGTAGAATTACAAAAATTTAAAGATTTTTCTTTAGTAAGTTTTTTTAAAATATTTGTCTAAAATTTTATATATATATATGATATTTATTTAATTTCTTTTCTTACATATTTAGCTATTAATTAAAACTAATAAACGCAAAAAAAAGGTTTTTAAAAATGAAATAAATCTAAGTGAAGATAATACCAAATGGACAGATATGAAAATTAAAAATTTACTTGAATTTTGGGATGAAGATTTAGAAGATTGGAAACGTGAAAAAATAAAAGTTTATCAAAAGATAGTAAATGCAAATATATTACCAGATAGATTTTATGAGCAAATTAAAAATAAAGTGAGAAAATTGCGTGAAATGTACCTGCAAAAAAAAGCTAATTCTATTAGTGAAGGAAGTGTTAATTAGATTTAGTTTTCACAAATGGAAGAAATTTTATCACAAAGTAAAGCTGTTAATTCAGATTATATTACAGATTTTTCAACTATAGATTCTATTTCTAATAATGAAAATTTAATTAATAAAGAAAATGATGGAATTGTTGAAACCAAGAAAAAAAAAACAAAGTAAATAGAATTAGAGGTTTATCTGAAGTAATTGCTACAATAGGTAAGTCAAGAGATAGGTTTTATAAAAAAAAACTAGATTTAGAGGAATGTGAAATTCAAAAAAAGTTTGAATTAGAAGAAAAATGATTAATTTAACAATATGAATTAGAAAAGAACAAGTTAGAAATAAAAAAGTTATATGCTGAAAATGAAAATTTAAATTAAAAAGAATAAATAAATAAATAAATAAAATAAAGTATTTTTTGGGATTATGCTTTTAATAATTTTTGTTTAAATATTCAATGTGTGATTATAAAAATTTTCATAATCTAGTTTTGAAATATTAGTTTTGTACGTTTGTACAATCCATTATAATCTTTTAGATTGAAAGATGATTTATTTATCATTTGATTAGTATTGAACAATTTGTCATTATCTTTCAGAACTGAAAGATAATTTATTTTTTTATTATTCAATTTATATTGAATGATCTGTTATTATCTTTTAGACTAAAAGATAATTTATTTATCATTTGATTAGTATTGAACAATTTATCATCATCTTTCATAATTAAAAGATGATTTATTTATTTATCATTCAATTTGTATCGAATAATACGTTATCATCTTTTAGACTAAAAGATGATTTTTTTTATTGTTTAATTAGTATTAAACGATTTGTCATCATTTTTTAGACTGAAGATGATTTATTTTTTTATTATTTAATTAGTATCAAACGATTCGTCATTACCTTTTGGAATGAAAGATAATTTTTTTTATCATTCAATTAGTATTAAATGATTTGTTATTATCTTTTGAAACTGAAAGATGATTTATTTATTATTATTCAATTCATATCAAATAATATGTTATCATCTTTCAAACTAAAAGATGATTTTTATATTGTTCAATTAGTATTGAATAATTTGTTATCATTTTTCATAACTGAAAGATGATTTTATATCATTCAATTAGTATTAAATGATTTATCATCATCTTTTGTAACCAAAAAATAATTTTATATTGTTTGATTAGTATTGAATGATTTGCTATCATCTTTTATAATTGAAAGATGATTTTTATATCATTTGATTAATATTGAATAATTTACTATCATCTTTCGTAACTGAAAGATAATTTTTATATTGTTCAATTAGTATCAAATAATCTGTCATCATCTTTTGTAACCAAAAGATGATTTTTATATCAAATGATTCACCATCATCTTTTAGACTAAAAGATAATTTTTTTATCGTTCAATTTGTATCAAATAATCTGTTATCATCTTTTATAATTGAAAGATGATTTTTATCATTTGATTCATATCAAACATTGATTTATCATTGATTTAATCAAATAAAATATTTTTAATTTTTAAATTTATTTGTAAAGTTAATTTTTATTAATTATTTAGGCAACAAATTGATTCAAAATTACATCTCTTTTAAATTCTCCTTCTAACTTTAAAATTTCATCACTTTTATTTTCAATATCATATTAATTATCATAATAATAATCATTATCTCAAACTTTTCAAATTTCATCACAAATTTATATAATAATATAGCATAATCAGCTAAATTAATAGCTGTTTTTACATCTTTTACAGATATTTCTTTTAAAACTTTAAATCTAACTTTCAATCTACTAAATGCATATTCTACAATAACTCTATGCTTTGAATAAATAAAATTAAACTGATGTTATTTATAAATAAAAGGATTTTTAAAAGGAAATATCAAAAAAAAAGAAATTAGATATATTAAATCATCTAGTACATAATCTTTACCTTGAATATATTTAGTTCTATTGAGATAAAAGTCTAAATTGGTATAAATTTGTACATCATATACTGATCTAGACTATCTAATTACATAATAAATAAAAATTTTGCAAAAATCAATAATTCCTTAACATTGAATTACATACCTTTTTTTTCTTATAAAAAATGCTGTTAGATCTTGTGTAGGTGTTTCATTTAAAATAAAGTGGATTCTATATATTACTCCAATAATATTTTGAAACTCACTAATATTTTGAAATCCTATATGAATAACTGTTCTAATATTATCTTTAGGCTATTGAATAAATTTTGATTTTTATTCTTTATAGCTCTCATTACACAATCTATATAAAGAATTACAATATCTTCTAATACTCCAAATCTAGAACAAATACCCATAATATCATCTTTAGAACTAATACGTCAAAGAAATATTGCTAATTGAAAATCAACTGATGCTTATAGCTTTTTTTCTTGGCTTTAAAATATTATATTATATTATAAAATTTGTACTAATCTATTAAACTGCTGCTTTTCCATTCATAAAGTTTTTTTAAAATTGATGTTATCATATAAAGGTAATATTTCATATCATTAATGTTTGAATTTAACAATATTATGTGTTCAAGTAATAAGATAATGAGAAGACAAAGCAAGAAGAACTACTTTTATTAGTTCAAAAATATCATCTTCTAGTTCATTTAATTCATTATTAAAAGAATTATTTACTGTATCTCCTCTATTATTAATAATAATAAAGCATTATCTACATCTTATTTAATTGACATGATTGGTTAAAATTAAAATGGAACAGATCAATTTGGAATTTATCTGCTCAACTCTTACCATTTTTTAATTGGTTAAAATAATTTCAAAAAAATTGAATCAGATCAAAATAGATTAGAATTGAACAGGGTTACTGATACCTTAACAACCTGGCATCTTGACAGCCTGCCAAATGATCATCAAAAGACTAACTGAAAATATCGAAAACGATTTTCATGCGGAATTATAGAGATTTCGGCCGGAATTACATTCAATTGTAACACATCGTCTCATCCAACTAGGGATGGGAAATTAACGGTTAATTAAGATTTGGTTAATTAACCGTTAATTAACCCATTATATATTTTTTTGTATCACTACACAATTCTTTTAAAAAAGTTTCCTTTTGTTTTGATTGGTCAACTAAAAATATCCTTTTTGGTTAATTATCTTAACTACACCCAACGTATTCACAACATCGATTTTTAACTTCCGCTTAATCAATTATCGATTACTCGATAATATTACACTCGAAGGAGGATACTTTTTTTTTTTTAACCTCCGCTTAAGCAATTATCAATTATTAAATGGACAGACAATAGGTATGAAAAAAATGATATATTAATTGATTGCTATTTCAAAAACTTTCCCAAAAACTTGCAAAGTAACTAAAGATGTCAACTTCTTTTTATGGCGATCACTATTCTAGTTATTTTAATGTTAGCAGAGTTAGAAAAGTTAGTTCAGAAACCAGTGGTAAGTATGTTTGACTTCGTTTCAAATTTCCTTGAGGGTAAGATAATAGCAGTATATTTTAACGTAGAGAGCGTCACTACCTCCACTACCCTCGCTACCTCCACAAGTTCTATTACCTCTAATAAAAGGTAAGTAAATATTTACAACTGATACTTTGCATTTAATTTTGGCTAACAAAGAATTCTTCTGTAACGGTAGTACTTCTGCTGTTCATAAGCCTATTGAAGACGAAGAATTAAGAAAGCTCCGACGATTATGGTGGGAAGAGGGCAACATACATCCACAAGCAAAATGGGAAGAGGCCAAGTAAGTTTGTTCTAAAGTTTACCAAATATTTTATGGCATGTTACTTATATAAAAATTTTTCCGATTACATCAAGACTTCCATATGTCATTGCCAAGGATATCACATTAGATGAGTATGAAAAACGTACAGATGAATTTAACGTCCATGGTCTTTGGGAATGGATCAATTATGAAGTCATCATTTATGAACTCCCATTAAAACGCCACGAAACCTTTATTGGTTCGATCACCTCAGAAATAATGGAGAAATGTCTTCCTGCTAAACGAACCGATGCCGAAATTGGGAATCTTGGCGCAATTCGTAATTATTTATACACCAACTGCTTCAACCTTATGTTTGCAATATTAGATTAATATTTGTTTTCTTAAGGAACTCGTGTCGACAATTCCGGCAAAGAAGCTGATGCATGTTTTCGACCTTCAAAACCACCAGTACAACCACCAAACGGGAGCGACAGAGAGGTACCTTCTATTGGTAATTTTGATCATGAACTTTTTAGCACTAAGATTTTACATTTATGATCTCAGGGCGAACCCTGGCCAAATATTGTCATTGAAGTTGCGTATTCTGAAAGCGAACAGCATGTCCTAGACAAGGTGAAAAAGTATTGGTTAGGTAATCTTGACCGTGTCCATGATGCAATAGTCGTCAAAATCGATCCAGTTTCTACTGGCCAAATTCCTAAGCGCATGCAGGTATACTATATTTTTTGAGATGCGGGTCGGGTGACATTTCAATATTTGACATTCTAAAGAATTTAATCAATTGTAGGCTTGGCATTTTTGCATCTCGGACAAACGTCATCGATATAGAGATGTCCCACATCGAACTTATGTAATGTTACAAACAAAAATAATTTTTTTTATCAATGTGTTAAATTTCTAACGTGATATTTTAATTTTTTAGTTTGAATTTGGAACCCATGACAAAGACGGAAATCCAATAGATATTCAACAGGGTCAATGTATTATCAAAATTTCACTGGATTGTTTGTATCACGATAAATTTCCTGATATTGTAATTCCTCGACAACTTCTCCCTGATCCTATTGTATTGGATTTCTTTTTAATTCGAGAATCATTCCTTCGTATGTATCGAAGGTGATGAAGATCAGAGGAATATTATGTGAATATTCAACCAAATACAGAACTTACATAATTTATTCACTAGTGTTACTAGAACAATTAATCTGTGATAAAACACTTGCTGATTAAACTGCATGAAAAAATACAAATAAAGTCATAAATTTATTATATAGGATAGCCTTTAACAAGTTAATAAACTGAACCTTCAGATAAAACTCGGCATAGATCTATTACCTATTATGCTGACAAATATACCATTTATTAATAATATCACATGATAAAAAAAATTTCATTTTTCTTGAAATTTGTAAAAATGGCATTGGAATATAATGACATTAATGAATTTGCTCTATATTAATATTTTTTAATTTTTTTTAAAAATAAAAACTAATATTCACTTACCTTTGTAGATTGATCCAGATCCTTGAGGCATTGAGTCAGAGGTAAGTTCTTAACAAAATTTTTTTTGTTAATTTATTTTTTTTTAATTTTTTTTAAAAAATATTCACTTACCTTTATAGACTGATCTGGATCCTTGAGGCATTGAGTCAGAGGTAAGCTCTTAACAAAATTTTTTTGTTAATTTATCTTTTTTTTAATTTTTTTAAAAAATAAAAACTAATATTCACTTACCTTTGTAGACCAATTCAGATTCTTGAAGCATTAAGTCAGAGGTAAGCTCTATATTAGTATTTTTTTTTTTAATTTTTTTTAAAAATTAAATTTAATATTCACTTACCTTTGCAGACTGATCTGAATCTATAAACCTTAGAATCTTGGATCAGAGGTAAGTTTCTAATTGAAGAAATTGTTAGTTTGTTAGGTGATAAAGAAGAAATAATGATATTTTTTTTTGTTATAGGAATGATACTAATATTTTATTTCTTTTTTTTTATAGGTTAGATATCAGAACTTCTAGAAAATTTTATTAAATTTTTATATATTTATTTTACAAGTTATGTAATATTTTAATAAATGAATTATTTTTTATATCTTTCACGTCTAACCACATATAAATGTTTATTTTATTTAAACAACAAAAATTAATGTTCATATTATTTATTTTTAATAAACACATAATTATATTATAGTTATGTGTACATTCTTAATTCAATATATTACTAGAATAATTAAAATAAATTAAATTAAATAATTAAAAAATTATCCTTTAATAATAATGATAATAAATAATAATAAGAATATATATTAACCTTATTTAATTATACAAAGTCTTTAATTAGTTCTTTCATATTATAATCATCATCATCATCTTTATCATCATCTGTTTCATTATAATTTTTCAAATCTAGAAATATCTACATAATCAATAATAATAATTGGTTTGAAATTAAATTATTTCACTATTTCTAATTCTTCTTTTATATTTATATTTACTATTTCTTTTTATGCTCTTAAACTTGATAAAATATTTATTTTATCGTTATCTCTAATTATTCTTCATAACTTTCACTTAAAGATATTTTAAATTTCTTAATAAAAAAGTAAGATTTTAAACATTTATTTAAATGATAAAAAAAATATATGTAATTATTTTTTTTTATATAAAATACTTAAATTTAATTTATTTTATTTATATAATTAATATTTAAAATATAATAATATAGCTATTATTAAAAATAAAATCATTATTAATAATGATATTATTACAATAAGAATTTAGATAATATAAAATTTTATTATTTTAATCAATATAATTTATTTTAATTTAATTTATTACATACAGTATTAGAAAATTATAATAATAAAAAAAATTTAAACTTTAATATTTTTTTGTTTATATTAATTAAAATTTATTTTAATAATTTTAATATTATAGAAATATTATAAAAAAGAATAAGAGTTAAAAATAATTTTTTTATTTTTTAATTTTTATTTTTATTTTTTAATTTTTTTATTTTTAATTTTAATTTTAATTTTTTATATAATTATTATTAATTTTATAAATTTATTTTTATTTTTAATTTTTTTAATAAATAATAATACATTTAATATATTTATATATGATTTTTTAATTTGTTTAATAATTATAAAATATATATTTTATGAGTTATTTTAGAAAAACTTCAAAGTATTACATATTATAAATCTTCAAATTATTACATATCATAATTTTTAAATTATTACATAGTATAAATCTTTAAATTATTATGTGTTATAAATTTTCAGATTATTATATGTCATAAACCTTTAAATTATAATAGCGATCATAAGTATCTAACCACTTCTAACTTCAGCTACAAGTAAGTAAATTCAAAAAATTTTTTTATTTAAAAAATACATAACTAACTAAAATTAATATATTATGTAGTCACTATCTGACTCTATAAGTGCAGCTGTACGCCTTTTCATACTAGCTACCAAATTTGCAACAAGTACAGGTAATAATCAGTTCTATTCTTTTGTAAGTTCTCCCTTTAACCCTCTAATTGATTGAATTTTTTTTTTGTATATTAATTTTCATTAACCTCCAAACATTTTCTATAGGGTTTTGGTCTGGAGACATTGATGG